CAGACACACACATTAACACACACACACACACACACACACACACACACACATACATTAACAAACACACACACACACACACAGACACAGACACAGACATTAACACACACACACACACATACATTAACAAACACACACATACACACACACACACACACACAGACACAGACATTAACACACACACACACACACACACACACACACATTAACACACACAGACACAGACATTAACACACACACACACACACTCACACACACTCACACAGACAGACTGACCGTGCTGTAGAGCTGGTGTAGGATGTCCCTGCAGTTCGGGACCCCCAGGTCCGTGTTCATCACCAGCTTAATGCCTGTGGGGGTCTCATAGTAGTGAAGTTTGTACCGACTCGTCTGGAAGGAGATAAACCCGTCCTTCCTGAAACAGCGAGTCAAGGAAACGAACAGAAACACACGGCCAACAGCGTTCGTACGAACCTGCAGCTCGGAATACGTCCGGTCACCAACAACACAGGCTGCAGTGCAGTCAGGCGGGGAGACACGGCATCAAGGAGTGAGGGTCTCAGAATCAAAGTTCTGGGGGTCCCTGATAATAAACTCATTATGACGTTACGCTGAAAAACAGACTCAGATCCAGACTCAGTGAAGCTCATTGTTTATCTGCTTCCCCCACAATCAGCTTCTGTCTCTGGTGTTCTTAACTAACTAGAGCTGCAGCTCTGCTCTGCCTCAGGGTGGCGCTGTAGCAGACTGGTTCACCCAGTTGGTCCTTCATAGCCTAGAAACTGTAACTCTGCCCGGATTCCTCTGAAACACTTTACAATGAGCTGCAGCAGATCTGTAAATCTGAAAACTCGCCCAGTTTCCCAAGAGTTTGGAGTGAAGAGTGACTGTTCCTCATTTCTCACACTGAAGACAGAAGAGGAGACGAGGAAGATCTCAGTTACTGTGAGGAAGAGCGCAGAACCGCACTAGAACAGAGACTCTACAGAAGAGGAGACGAGGAAGATCTCAGTTACTGTGAGGAAGAGCGCAGAACCGCACTAGAACAGAGACTCTACAGAAGAGGAGACGAGGAAGATCTCAGTTACTGTGAGGAAGAGCGCAGAACCGCACTAGAACAGAGACTCTACAGAAGAGGAGACGAGGAAGATCTCAGTTACTGTGAGGAAGAGCGCAGAACCGCACTAGAACAGAGACTCTACAGAAGAGGAGCCGAGGAAGATCTCAGTTACTGTGAGGAAGAGCGCAGAACCGCACTAGAACAGAGACTCTACAGAAGAGGAGACGAGGAAGATCTCAGTTACTGTGAGGAAGAGCGCAGAACCGCACTAGAACAGAGACTCTACAGAAGAACAGCTGATAAAACAGACATTTACTGACACTGAATCATCAGCGCCGCTATGGAGAGAGAGTCAGCAGACAGACACGAGACCCCCGAATACCAGGGGGTTTCACACACTGCCGTGATGGGATGAGGTAGTTATAATCTTCTGAATCGTTTTCTTCAAATCATGACTTATCTGCCTTGTGATTTTTTCTTGAGATCACAACTTATTTTTTTCGTGATCTCAAGATAATAGAAGCTGCATACTTGACAATCTTGAAATCACAAGATAATTAAGCTGTGATCTCAGGATAACAGTTCAGAGAGCCGTATCTACCCCATGGCCTCTCCTGACGTCCGTCATCTTCTGAGTTTATACAATAAACACAAACTTAGACCAGAAACAGAAACCCAGCGTACAGTGACTTTATAACCTGCACAGGAAGAAGAAGCTGATTGGACGGCAGCTTGTTATGACATCATCATCTTTGATCACTCATTTTAAACCAGAGCTTTGATTTAAACTCTTTTCCTTCTTAGAAAGTTCAATTTTGCATAATTACATCCCAGACAGTGATTAACGGAGCTCTGATCGCCGACGGGCTTCAAACCCCAGAAGAACACGAAACGTATCGAGCATCACGAACCGTCTGATCAGCCCACGCTCGAGTAAAGCCCCCCCACCACGCTCGAGTAAAGCCCCCACCATGCTCGAGTAAGCCCCCCCACCACGCTCGAGTAAAGCCCCCACCATGCTCGAGTAAAGCCCCCCCACCACGCTCGAGTAAAGCCCCCACCATGCTCGAGTAAAGCCCCCCACCACGCTCGAGTAAAGCCCCCCACAGGCACAGCGCTGGAGGATACATGTCGAGTGGAGACATCTTGCTGACGAAGGAGCGGATGGAGAACAGCATCCCGTACATCAGCTTAAACTCCTGGACAAACACAGAACAGCAGCCGTTACTCCAACATCCAATCTGGATATGTATATATATATATGTATATCCAAGATAGATATATATCCAATCTAGAACCACATATGAAAGTTTTTGTTTTGGTCCAGATGTTAATTCAGACGTCCTTCACCAACAGTTTGCTGCTTATGTGTTAATGGTAATTAATCTGGATCTGGTTCAGTGTGAACACAAGCTGGAGTCTAAATCACAGTCAGACTGACTCGACCTGGGAAATTACCAGCACTGAGAACTCAATAATAATCATAATGATACCAATAATAATAATCATAATGATACCAATAATAATAATGATAAAGTTTATCTATGTAGCACCTTTTACATATTAATATGCAGCTCAAAGTGCTTTACAAGGAGGAAGGCAAGTAAACACCACCATATAAGAGGGATCAGAAAACTGTGTGGAGAATAAAATGTCATAACATTTCTAAAATAATAAATACATAATGGTTTAAACAGCACAAATAAGTGATTATAAAAGATAAAATCGTAAAGGAATGGAAAAAACAAGGACTTCAAACTCAAAAATCTCAAATATAATAAAACAATCATCGAGTTAAATAATCAATTACAGGCCTGTTTCCCCTACAGAGGAGGTAAAGGTGGAAAAACTGAATCTGGATTCTGATTCAGGTGAGACGACCAGGTGTGAACGGGGTCTGATTCTCATTACAGACCAATAAACGGACGGGAAAGCCAGTTTAATCCAGAGCTCAGCTCACTCAGGCTGGGCCTGGTGGGTGTGGAGTGCGCTGGTTCTCTTTGTTCTGTGTGGCTGGTTCTCACCTCCTCTTTGGAGATCCCTGCCTGCTTCTTACGGTTCCACTCGCTGTAGTGCAGGCAGGTTCCGTTACGGTCGAAGATGTACAGGTTATGGACGGTCATCTGCAAGACGGACCGGACATCAGAGACAAACACGAACACTTTATTCTTATTACCAGAGCTCCTACTGTATCAGAGTGGAGTGAGTGAGCTCCTACTGTATCAGAGTGGAGTGAGTGGAGTGAGTGAGCTCCTACTGTATCAGAGTGGAGTGAGTGGAGTGAGTGAGCTCCTACTGTATCAGAGTGGAGTGAGTGGAGTGAGTGAGCTCCTACTGTATCTGAGTGGAGTGAGTGGAGTGAGTGAGCTCCTACTGTATCAGAGTGGAGTGAGTGGAGTGAGTGGAGTGAGCTCCTACTGTATCAGAGTGGAGTGAGTGGAGTGAGCTCCTACTGTATCTGAGTGGAGTGAGTGAGCTCCTACTGTATCAGAGTGGAGTGAGTGGAGTGAGTGAGCTCCTACTGTATCAGAGTGGAGTGAGTGGAGTGAGCTCCTACTGTATCTGAGAGGAGTGAGTGGAGTGAGTGAGCTCCTACTGTATCAGAGCGGAGTGAGTGGAGTGAGTGGAGTGAGCTCCTACTGTATCAGAGCGGAGTGAGTGGAGTGAGTGAGCTCCTACTGTATCAGAGTGGAGTGAGTGGAGTGAGTGAGCTCCTACTGTATCAGAGTGGAGTGAGTGAGCTCCTACTGTATCAGAGCGGAGTGAGTGGAGTGAGTGAGCTCCTACTGTATCAGAGTGGAGTGAGTGGAGTGAGTGTTTCTCCCAAAACAGATTACAATTCTCCGGTCCACCTTAAATGGTACAACAGTTACTGCTGTGACTGCGGCACCATTTAAGGTGGACCGGGGAATTCGAAACAGGAGCCAACTTCGTTCTTTTCCCAGCAGTAACTGTGGTTCTGTTCTCCACCATTTGAGGCGGTTCGCTTCTGTAGATCCGCCTCGGTTTCGCTTCGGAAATGATTTGATGAGACGATTAAACCGCTTTATTTCATTTTACACCGGCAGATCAATAAACCGCTCCGGGGCACAAACAGCAGCGGACAAGCGGCTCTCTAACCGTTTAAAGGCGCTCTTAGAGAGAAACCACTGATTTATTTATAAAGTGTGAGTTTATTGTATTTATAAAGTGTGAGTTTATGAATCTCCGAGGGAGAAAAAAGAGAGATAATCGGGTATTTTGGTATTTTGTGAGTTATTTACCTTCCGTCTTCACTCAGCGGCGGCCGACAGAGCAGACAGCACCGTGTTCCAATAAGCGCACTAGTGCACTCGCTGAATCTCCCGATGTGGCGAATGTTCCCAGACCGCCCTCTGCTCACTCGCTAGGCGCCCTAGCTAGGGGACTAGCGCGCTTATTGGAACCGTGGACTCTATGGTCGCCGTTGCCTGTAAATAATGCTCTATTTTACAGTAGAAAACGATAAATATTCAAATATATCAACTCCGTTCATTTAAATCGTCGTGACTTTGATATCCGTACATGTTACCCATGTTTCAGTGTTTATTTCTTTTTTATTCACATTACGGATTCTTTTCAAACAGGCATGTGTGAGGGCAGCGTCCTCGCTCAGGGCTCCGAAGGAGCAGCAGGTAGATTTTTAGAAATTTGAGAGATTGTGGTGATTTTTGCTAATTTAACTATTTCACTGGTTTTAGTTTTACACTTTGAGGTTGTGAAGCTGCAGTGAATGCAAAAATGAAGCTTTGTGAGGCTTTTTATCGTTTTTATTGTCATTTTATTTTTTTTTGTGGTGTTACAAATCTGGCAGCGCAAAGAAGAGAGAGAGTAAACAACACAGATGAAGGAGTAAAGGAATAAAGATGATTTCAGAAAAACTGAAGATGGTTAAGAAAGATTTCTGGATTAAACTGGAACAGATCTGCTTTGAGGGTTCTTTAACTGTGGATGCCCATCAGGGACACCTGGTGGACAGAAGGAGGAACAGCAGCTATAGGTGTACTGTGTACCTCTTAGAATAAAAGGTCCAAATTCGTTCCTCCGAGTTATTTACTGTTTATTAAACAGCAAAGATAAATAACATTAATCACACTGTGGGCGTTCCCTGTTAAAAAAGGCAATCAAAACCATTAGGACTGAGATGTGTTTGCTTTCTAATGGGGATTGGCCTAATGGTTACCATTTGAGTCCCTGTAGGACACCTTTAGATCCCATCAGGAAACCATCAGACGCATCTGGAATCAGAACACCTGTTAGTCCTTTAGAGTCCGTTATACTGTGATATCAACCCATCAGGAAAACACAGAACACCATTACTGGCTATTAGACACCATCAGGAACCAGCAGAACCTTTTAATCATTTATAGGATTTTTTCAGCAGGATAAAAACACAATAAACAAAAAATAGATCACCTTCAAGGTTATTTTGAGAACAGTTTAGAGCTGGTGTTTACAGTGATAGCGCACACCTCTACATGCTGTTTACTATTTAGTGTGAGGTTTTGTTATGTGTGTGTGTGTATATATATATATATATATATATATATATATATATATATATATATATATATACACACATATATATACACATATATACATATCGCTGCTGTCGGAACAAAACTCATATCTCCATTTTTGTTGTTTTTCAGTTTTTGACATAATTTGAAAATACCTGTTGGCTTTAAAATTGTGTGTAAATTTCATGATGAATGGACCAAAAGAAACGGCCCACAATTACTTAGAAAGACGTCTGGTTCCATTGACTTACATTAAAAGTAAAGTAGGTTTTTTCCTTCTCCTGTAAAGTTATACCTTTGGAGATACGAGTTTTCTTCTGACAGCAGCGATACATATATATATATATATATATATATATATATATATATATATATATATATATACACATATATATACACACACACCTATATATATATATGTGTATATATATATATATATGCTGCTCTGGATCATTTCCTGAATTCTGGTATCAGTCATGAGCCACAAATACCCCCCAGAGCCAGAGCAGCTCTCAGGGCTGGAGCAGGAAACAGATGCTGTACTGTTCTGCACAGATACTTCACTGAGTACTGACAGTCAAATACAGTATGAGAGCGCCACGCTGGAGGAACCAGCTCTGAGAACCTTTACAGAACCTGACACAGAGGCTAAAACACTCCTCCAAAAAAACTACACAAGCAACAGAGAGAAAGATCCCCGCCCACCCAGACACGCCTCTGCCTGTGGGTTTAATTACACTGTTATTAGCTGATCTATATAACCTGATATAGGAAAATCATCTTATTTACAGCAGCCAATAAGCTGCTTCTGCACTCACTCACTAACAATGATGTAGCCCTGCCCCTTTAGGTAAAACCCACCTCCCTCCCACAGATGTAGCCCCACCCCTTCAAATGTAGTTCTGCCTCCATCAAGTATAGTACCTCCTCTTTTTAGTAAAAACCCCATCTGCCTTCCACATATGAAGCCCCACCCCTTCAGCTGTAACCCGCCTCCCTTAGATATAGCCCCACCCCTTCATGTTTTGCCCCACCTCTTTCAGATGTAGCCCAACTTTCCTTATTGTGTAGCCCACCTCCCCCCGATGTACACCCTTCTCCATCCGCTGTAGCCCCGCCACCCTCAGATGTGTTGGTTTGCGACCCTGCCACAGGTGTGGGCGGGGTGAAGGAAGCCCCACCCTCTATCTTTCTAATCAGAGACCCCCAGCTCCCCTCCTTCATCTGTCCTCCTCCCCCCATCTCCCACTCTCCTACCAACCACTCCAGCCCTCCTCCCATGTCCTCCACACCGCCATTCTCCTCCCTCAGGATCAGGCTGTACCGCGTCTTCCTCCTCTCAGTCGTCCTTCTCTCCGGCATCCCCCAGCTCTCCTCCACCTCCTTCCATCCCTCTATCTCTTCCTCTCGGCTTATCTCCCTGTACAGGGTCTTCCTGAACATCTCCTTCCTGTCTGTCGCTTCTCTCCCTCCTTCTTTCTCCCTCCGCATCGTCACCTCCATCCTTTCCTCCTCTGCTGCTGGCACCAGTTCTATTCTAGTCGCGGTATCTCCTCTATCCTCGTCCCTCGCTCCCTCTCTCCTTCCGTCCTCCCCTACCTCCTCGTCTCCTTTCTCGATGAACAGAACTGAGCGGAACACGGCCTGGCTCTCTATCGGTATCTTCTCTGGAGCTAAGAACTTCACCGTCTCGCTCCCCAGCTCCCCTCCTCCCACTCTGTCCAGAGTGTTTCGGAAGGTCAGCAGGGTCACTCCTCCGCCCTGCTTGCGAAGTTTCCTCTGGATTGGCCGGTACAGGGTGAGGTAGGTGATGAGGATCCAGAGGAAGAGCATGCAGGAGCAGAGCGCTGAGAGAATGCAAAGCGGCAAAAAGCCAGCAAACAGCCACCAGCACCATGGCACCATGCAGCCGGACACTGATCTGGATTCACCTGAGGCATGGTCGAAGGGAATCAAGGTTTCTAGACCAGGAACGGAGGTAGGGGGTGCTCTAGAGGTCCTCGGGTGGCCGGTAGAGGATGTGGATTGGGGTTCAGGTGTAGCAGGCTCTGGAGATGTCCAGGGCAATGGGACCAATGAGGTTCCTGGATCAAGAGTGGAAGTAGGAAGTGCGGTAGAATTCTTCTCATGGCTTGTAGAGGCTGTGGAATAGAGTTCAATTCTCTTGGTGATGTTGAATGCCCTGGATTCTGAGATCCATTCGGACCAGACTTCAGTCCAAAAATGCTGGACAGTCCAGAATTCAAATCTGGTCCAGATGCTAGACATGGTGGAGGCTGGCAGAGAGTGGCTACTTGCAGGTGTACTGCTTGTTGAGGCTGTTTGTGGGGTTGAAAGGGTACTCGTTGTGGTAGCTGGCTCATTGATCTTGGAGCTCATTGTTGGGGTAACCGTGGGTGACTGTGTTGTGATGCCTGGCTTAGTGGTTGTTGGGATCATTTTTGAGGTTGTGGGTTCAGGTGCTGTTGTTGGTTGACTGAATGTAGAGGTTATTTCATGGGACTGCACTGGAGGCATCGGTACGTTTGCACTGCAGTATTGATCTTCCTCCAGGTCCACGATGACCATCCCTTTCATGAATAGTGGCTCAAAACACACCACACTCTCTGGGTCATTCTCAACGCTGGCTTTCAGGTCCATGGTGTGATTGGTGTGTTTATACACATTGTGACCCTGATCCTCTAGGTATTTCTGCAGGTAGCCCACCTGGCAACTGCAAAGCCAGCGGTTCTTGGACAGGAAGACATAAGGCAGCTCAGGCTTGGAGGAGAAGAACTCATCAGGCAAGTGTTGGACACGGTTATCTTCTAGGTCAAAGGTCTTGAGGCTGGTGGAGGTGACAGACTCCAGCAGGCGATGGGGCAGTGCGGGTAGCTGGTTCCCAAAGAGGTCAATGACCTCTAAGAGTGGAAGGTCACCGAAGGTGGCATCATGAAGGGTGCGGAGGGCGTTTCTGTCCAGATACACCTCCATCAGCGCAGGAGCAAAGCGGAACACCCGGCCACCCAAACCTTCCAGCTTGTTATTGGACAACCGCAGCACACTGAGCTTCTCCAGCACTGGACCTGAGAGAGACCAGCCAGGGGGTTCAGTCACAATCAGGAATTTACAAAGACATTAGGCTGAATGAATAACTGACTCTAATTGTGATATAAACTGAGTCTGTTCTACAGTTTCTCATTAGGCTGAATGAATAACCGACTCTAAATGTAGGTATTGTGATATAAACCGAGTCTGTTCTACAGTTTCTCATTAGGCTGAATGAATAACCGACTCTAAATGTAGATATTGTGATATAAACTGAGTCTGTTCTACAGTTTCTCATTAGGCTGAATGAATAACCGACTCTAAATGTAGGTATTGTGATATAAACTCAGTCTGGTCTACAGTTTCTCATTAGGCTGAATGAATAACTGACTCTAAATGTAGGTATTGTGATATAAACTGAGTCTGTTCTACAGTTTCTCATTAGGCTGAATGAATAACTGACTCTAAATGAATAGAGTCAGCCAGTTTGCACTAAAGTCCCTGTAGTTACTGAATAATAAGCCCCAGTATGTAATAAGCCTGGGCTTTAAGGGGTTGAAGCTCCGCCCCCCAGTCTCACCTGACGGGTCGATGACCCTGATGTGGTTCTGGCTCAGGTCCAGCTCGTGAAGCTGTGCGTAGGCGCTGTAGGCGGCCCAGGACAGCGAGGTGAACTCATTTTGGGAAAGAACCAACACCTCCGTCCCCACGTCGATCCCAGCAGGCACTGCGGTCAGACTCTGATTAACGCAGCTGACCCGCGGC